TGTTTGATCGACGCCAGATCAATTGACATTTTTGTAATTTGCTTGTTTTGGAAGAAACGTGTGGCCAGTTTCACGGACAACTCCTCGATGCTATCGATGCTTTCCTCCAGTAACTGTCCAAACCAACGTTGTGCTTGTCCGTCGAGGAAGGATGGTAAAGCTTTGGCCATGAAGTCGAGAGACGCGTTCCGGATTCTCATGACTTGCACATACTTGTGCAAGAACCGCTGTGGGTCGGTGTCTCCTGAGTAATTGACGAAGTCTTTTGGGAAGTCAAAATCTCGGGGTTTCAGACAGTCTCGAATCCGCGGGACAAAGGGACTCTTACTTGATCATTCCTATCATTCTTCTCATCAAGTCGCGGATAGACGGGTCTTTGCAGCCTTGGTTCTCTCGTTGTCGAGTATATTGGGGGTCCTCAACATAGGGAACGTTGTGCCTATCATGAGGTATGTATCTTGGGTTGTGATGAGTACCACGGTGGTCATGATAAGACTTCTCCGGAGAAGCTTTAGGTCCCAATCGAGAATGGATGTTACCTCTCGGGGGGTTTCCTCCCCCTTCTTGACAATTCCTCAACCCTGGGTGACCGTTGGCTAGGTTGGCGGTGAGACTGATTTCTCTGTCAATGTTCTCTTTCAAATTGCTCAACCGCCACAAAAACCGTCAGATTTGTTCTCTCGAGAGCGTCCCAAAAGCTGTCACCGGGGTTTTCAGAGGCCTCAGCGTGAGAGGCTTCACAGTTGCGGGCTTCCTTGTGCAACTCTTCTCCCCCTTCACCCGGGACTTTCCGTTTTACTCGCCTCACCTTGAGGAGGACTAATGTTCTCTTCGCCTCCTTCTCCTTGACCAGATATTCTAGTTCTTGATCCGTAGGATCTGGGAGGCCAAGTAAACAACAACATTGGTATTTCTCTAGTATATATTTCTTTTTCCTCTGGTTAAGGGAATTGTTGTTTTTCAATTTCTTCAATTCCGTTTCGATCTCGGCCAGCCGCTGTTTTTGGTACGGATTAGGAACTTTGTGATGAGTTTCTAGATCTTCTTCCCCTTCACCTACGTGAGTGGTTGGCTTTGTAGGGGATATCTTTCTTTTCGATTGCCGGTTGTTTTTCTTCCGCTTCTGTTTCTCCTGGAATCTCGCTAGGGTTTCATCATCACTGGGGCTTTCACGCCTACTGGTTGATGTGGTACTGGATTGGGGATTATCAATTATAGCCATTGTATCTTAGAAAAAACCTTAGCTTAGAGTGGTAGCAGCGGATCGAAAAGGTTTTGAAAGCTTGGGAAAGCTTTGTGACACAAACCCTAATTCTTGGGTCCCAGTGAGCGTTCCACTTGACGATACCCGGAATTGTGCCTCCGGTCTAGCGATGAAACTCCGGTTAGGGTTTCCTGCAAAACAGAGCCTCGGGGCCTCCCGAGGTAGACACTCCGAAGCTTAAGTCACAAAATAAGGTTGCGAAATAGATTGTGTATGTGAATTGGTGCCAAAGATAGCGTACCTCAATTGTGGTTAGACCAATCCTATTTATAGGTATGGAATTACCTCCAGGGAAGCCGAATCCCATTAGAAAGCATATTCTTGAACCGCCTCTACAAGGCCGGTTGAGCCCTAATTGATGGATGCGCCGGTCCGGGAATCCTTTGTGGATATGGACTCATAAAAAATAAAGGTTGCATCTTCTTTTGCATTGTTTCCTTTTAAATTTATCTTGATTTTATTATGATTAATTATGTTTTTGTTTAAAAAGTGTTGTACGTATGACCATATCTTATTTTGCTGTCAACGAAAATAATTCATTTCACCCCTTAAAACATTTATTTAAACGTTTAGATACTTTCACTCTACTTATTACCGTGAAATTGAGTTTTCTTTTTGTATAAAGGACCTTCTTCCTCTGTGTTGGAATTAAACCTTCAGTTTTTTGGTAGTAGTTGGATGAATTTTATTTGTTTTCTTGGGTACAACAAAAGAAGGTGCTTTCTGAATGTGTCTGTATAAAGTAGTTGTTTTCGGGTGGAGATGTTGAAGAATGTTTGGCTTATGAAATTCGTTGCTTTTCAGTTGTGATTTTAAGACTTCTGTTGTTATGGTCTCCCCCCCCTACTGGGTGGTTCTAGTGTTTGGAATGCTCTTGTTTAGTGATCATTGACTTAGATTTAATGTTATTGATACGATTACACAGTTTACACAAACTTTTTCTTTGGGGTACAAATTTATTTTTTTTCTTTGGGGTACAAATTTACATTTTACAAGTTGCATGCTACAAAAGATTTCGTTTTCATGCACGTGGAAGGGTTTTTCTTGTTCCCCCCTTCCTCCCGCTCCTTTTCAGTTTTCTCCTCCAATCTTAATTAATTTTTATTTTCCTTTCTAATTAAAAATAATGATAATGATGATTAAGAGTAATTGAGAAAGATTCTTCATCAACAACATTATCTTCATCATTATTATTATCTTTACTATTTCTGTCAGAGAATACCTACTTATTTGACGAGTTAAAAGTATTTCATTTTCGCATTAGATTCATTTGCTTATAAGAATGAAGAAAATCATCATATCTGACAGCACCAACATGAGTCCTAAATGACACCCAAAACCAATTTGATAAGTGATAACATCAGGGGCGGAGCTACATAGAAGAGAAGTCTGCAATTTTATTTTTTTTTGCTATTAACCCCTTGAAATTTTAGAATTTTTTTTTAAAAAAATTAATTTTTGCCCCAATTGAATTGAAAATATTAGGGGCAAATATATTAGATTAGAAATTTGAAAAATTTTGCCTCATCATATGTAGGGGGCTTGGCTCCGCCCCTGGATAACACCAATATGAGTCCTAAATGATGAGGAACGTAAAAAAAGATGACCATCACCATTCTCTAATTAACTTTATCATCTTATTTCTATTGCATATATAAAAAAAAAAAGTCCTCTTAAGAACATCCTTCTGACGATGAGTTTGTTCAAATGAAAGATTCCCATAGAAATAAATAAATTTTATGCAGATTTCATGCACATTCTATAACAAAATCGATTCTTGAAATTCCAGGTATGGCAAACTACATGGCTAATTCTCAGCAATCGGTTTTCCTTGTAACAATTGTTATATCGTTTCCGCGGCTGCTCTTATCAGCATCTACATCTTCTTCCGTGGCAAACACTAGTAGCTTCATAGCTACCATCTACCAACACCCAATGAAAGAGTTTGAAAACTTTATTCAGAAACAAGGTAAAATTTATATCAATGAGCAGGAGAAAATGAGGAGATTCAGTATTTTCAAAGAGAACTTGAAATATGTTGAGGAGTTCAACAAGGTTGGTGGACGTGAGAATAGATCCTAGACTTTGAACATCAATGCCTTTGCTGACCTTACAACAAAGGAGATGAGCCTTTCTTACAAAGGGTTCGGCAATACCATCGATGTTGGTAACTACCACCACTCAGCTACTGATTCCATGATGAAGTCCTTCCATTACGGGACGCTTTCAAATGACGATATCCCTCCCAATGTCGATTGGAGGTTTTCGGGTGCTGTCACAGATGTGAAGAATCAAGGTTCTTGTGGTAAGATAGATTTCAACTAATCAACAACTTCCCGGAGGGCGTTTTTTTTTTTTCTTAATTTTTTTTATTCTAACACATCCATACAAAAATGGGGTGCTTGACTTTTGGGTAGGCCAAACCAAAAAATGTGGAACAAAAAATGTGTAGGGTTATTTTTGTGGACAAATATAATGTTTTCGCGCTTTGAAAACGCGAAACAAGAAAATTGGATTAAGAATTCGCGTTTCTGAAACGCGAATAATTTTAATCACCTTTCAAAAAAATTGGTTGAGAGAAGAAACTGAATAAAAAAAGCACAATCATTTCTCGCGTTTTGGAAACGCGAAAAATTGTACATTTTTCGCGTTTCTGAAACGCGAATTATTTTAAACATCTGTCCAAAAATTCCGTTGAGAGAAGAAATTGAATTAAAAAAGGGTGATCCTTTTTCGCGTTTTGGAAACGCGAAAAATATGTTTTAATCATTTTTCGCGTTTCTGAAACGCGAATTATTTTAAACATCTGTCCAAAAATTCCGTTGAGAGAAGAAATTGAATTAAAAAAGGGTGATCATTTTTCGCGTTTTGGAAACGCGAAAAATGTGTATAGCGTTACAGAAACACGAAAAATTATTTAAAATAAATTGCACTTTATAAGAATTTAGCGTTTTCAAAACGCGAATATTTTTTCTAGCGTTTTGAAATCGCGAAATATCCAGAAAATCTCCTCAACCACTCATTCGAATCCACGTGTACTTTGATGATAAGTCTTTGAGTGTATTTGCGTTTTGTAAACGCGAAATTTAAGGTTTATATACTAAACCAAGCAAAATAACAGCATTTTTTCGTTCATTCATTCGAGTCCGATTTTAAGATTACGTGAAAGCTCTCATTTCCTTCAATTTGAGAAATTGCTCCGAAGTTAAAGAAGATTGATTTGAGTCCTGAATCCGTACAAGCTCTCATTTCTTTCAACATTCAGGTAAGTTCATTTCGTTATAGAAAATATGTACTTTTTTATGCCTTATTGTGAGCATAGGATGATTTACGCATTATTATTAGTTAATAAATAATTGTGATTTAGTCAATTAACGGTGATTTTTTAATTAGGCTGATAAAGTGAATTGAAAGAAATATTAGTTAATAGAATGTTAAATTAGATTAGCGTTTTGTAAATTATTGTATATCGATTTCTGTAAAATAAAATAAAATTATAATAATGATATTGAATTTTTGAATATTTTTAGCATAAGAATAAATTATGTAATTCGGGCATAAGGTTTAGATTTTATATTAATTTTTAGCATAGAAATGAATTTGTAAATTCAGGCGTATAGTTGTTCTTTTGAAATTATTAAATCTGTAAACGGGGTAAATACTGTTTCCGTAGAACTAAAAATCAAAATGTATGCTAGTGTTCTGATTTCGTAGGAAGTGATTTTACAGGCTGCAAATGTCTTTCACGGAGACAGTTCGTCTAAAATTATACTGGAATACTACTTATACAACTGAACCTGATGGGACTATCACGGTACAGCGGGATGCGCCGGACGGTTATCTTATCATTGATCGTATGTTAGATTTCTCGGAACTTGTTGATAAGGTATTAAGTGTGATCGGAGTTGATAGAGAAGGGCTGTATATTGATTTTTCTTTGGTATGGACGGAGAGGTCAGGAAAAAGGTCTCGTGTGCACATTAATGATGATAATACTGTTCGGTTCATTTATCTTTGTGCTGATAAATGGCCAGAATTGTACCCTGAAAATGTTGAGAGAACAGGCCATGTTTATGCAAGTACATCTGGCCAGGATATTGGTGCCAGCACTAGTGGTGGTAGAACAGTTGAAGACAATGAAGATGGAGATGAAGATGGAGATGAAGATGAAGATAAAGATGAAGATGAAGATGCAGATGAAGATGAAGATGTTGGGGGTGTCGAAAGCAGTGATGATGAGTACGTCCCATCGGATGAGGACTCAGATGACGACACTGATTTTGAGTCATCTTCTTCAGTCCCATATGTTTTCGACGACATAAGTGGATGGGACAAGACTTTAGAGGAAGTAGAAAACGATGGAATTAAAATGTGGGATGGCAATCCGTTGACGCTAGGCCTTGATATACATTTCGCCAACAAGCACGAGGCACAAGCGGCGGTGGGAGAATGGAACTTGGTACATGGTCGGACTTTCCGGGTGAAAACGAGCTCTAAACGAACATGGTATGTCGAATGCGAGACGTGTGGACCTAAATATCCGAAAGAGCGCCTTCACGGCTATGATTGTCTGTGGAAGGCGCGAGTTTCTCTGAGAAGGCCACCGATACTTGGAAAATGGTGGTATGGTCCGATTCCCACAAGCTGTCTTGGGGCAAACAAGAGAAACGAGTCCCGAAATGTCACGTCTTCTATGATTGCTAGACTGGTTGCCCAAAATGTGCGAAAACATCCAGATTTTGCAGTTGCCCAAATTCAAATAGAAGTGATGAAGAGGTACCTAGTCGAATGTAGCTACAAGAAGGCATGGCATGGTAGAAGAAAAGCACTTGAGGCTCTGTATGGTACATGGGAAAGTAATTTTCAACAATTGCCCAGCTTCCTCAATGCATTGTTCATGTCAAACCCGGACACTTGTGTGCAATTCAAGTTTACGGAAAATTCAGGAAGCTCACAAAGGTTTGTATGTAGGTATGTTTTCTGGGCATTTGGGCCATCTATACAGTTATTTCATGCTTGTTGGCCAGTAATAACCATCGATGCCACTCACCTGCGAGGATCCTACAAAGGAAAACTAATTGTGGCATGCGTAAAGTGCGCAAATGGCACGATTGTTCCCATCGCATTTGCTCTTGTGGACGAAGAGACTATACACAGCTGGAAATGGTTTTTGAAGTATTTGAAAAAGTTTGTTCTACAGGATAGGAAGACCTGTATTATCTCTGATCGAAATCAGGGTATCCTTACTGCCATGGACATCATGTTGCAAAAATTCCCAGAGATGGCCGTCCACCGTTATTGTCTAGAGCATGTTAAAGCAAACTTGGTTGGGCATTTTCGAAAGGAGAAACTGCGAGGCAACTGTCAAATGATTGGTTCAGCGACGCAAAAGACAAGGTTCTTGGCAGAGTGGCAAAAATTAGAAGAAAAAAATGAGCCTGCTGCTCGTTGGCTTCAGAAGCTGGGTGTTGAGAAATGGACATGTTTACACGATGGAGGGCATCGTTGGGGAGAAATGACCACTAACATCTCAGAGAGTTTCAATAATGTGCTGAAAGGGTCTAGATTCTTCCCGATCACAGCATTGATCCTAGCATCATTTCAGAAAAGCAACAATCTGTTTGCAAACATTGATATGATCCAAAAATGTCAGACTGTTCTACCTCCTACTCCAATGAAACTGTATGAAGAGGCCCGGAAGAAATCATTGAGGCAAAAGGTCAACCGGTTTAGCAAGAGAAACCAGAAGTATGAAGTGGTTACAATAGCACCTGATAATCAACCATGGAAGGCTGACGAGAAGCAAGTTGTGTTGTATGCAAATCGAGAGTGCACTTGCGGAAGGTGGCAGACTTTCAGATTTCCTTGTTCCCATGCACTTCGAGTTGCCCGTGAGCTAGGTGACGATCCCTTCCCACTTTTTGATCCATGTTACACTACGCATCAATGGTACCAACAGTTTTCTGGAGAATTCAACCCAATCATGGAACCATGGCCAAAGGCAACGTGGCAGATCAGGCCAGATGACACTAAACTTGTCCACCATGCTGGCCGAGGTCGGAAGCGTGTGAATCGGAAAAAGGTGTGATGGATTATACAAGCAAATCGGCGCGAAGACTCCAAACTTGCGGTTTATGTAAGCTACAAGGCCATAATGCCGGGCTTGCCCATATGCGAGAGTTTGCGCACGATGTGGAAGTTTAGATCATGATCTTTGTGGAATGCCCTTTTTCTCATCCACTGTGTGGGACCGCTATTGATAAACTGTACGATCCATATGGAATTCATGGTGTGCCTAATATCGATTCGATGATGATGATGATGCGTAGTGATGATTTTCCTCATCGTCATTGTGATGATTCTGTTAGTGTTCGTATTTTTGTGTTGTTTTGAACATTCATGTAGTAAACCTCGGAGGATGAATCGGTTTGCGTTTGTATTTGTGTTAGTGTGTTGGTTTAGATGTTTCGTAATTTATATTAGTATTATTTTTGAAAAAAAACGTCCTTTGTTCATTTTAGTAATATTACTAATTATTACTATAGTGGTAGAGTGATATGATATATACATGTCGAATAAAGCACTAATTATGTAATAAACAATAAAGGGTAAGAAAATTAATTATTTGTTTATTTATCACCGCAATAAATGAACCATATATCCGGCCTAAAAGTCGACGTTTTTTTAGTTATACCCCAATAATCGCGTTTCGAAATGCGAAACAAGACAAGGTGGACATTGTTTTCGCGTTTCGAAACGCGAAATAAGGAGAGGAGGCGTTTGGCGTTTACGAACGCGAGTTTTGGGTTTTAATCCGATTCGCGTTTGGAAACGCGAAAATAGGGGTTAAATAAATTTTCGCGTTTCGGTTGATGTTTCTCAAACGAACCATATATCCGGCGTACTCCATTGAAACCGGCGATTTTTCCGGGAAAGTTGCCGGAATCGAGTTTCGGCATCAATTTTTTGCAGTTTTTAGGCTATATATCGAGGTAAGTTGCATTTTTTGCTCTCATTGAATCGTTTTTTTTAATTTTCGATTCATATATTTTGTGTTCGTTTTATTTGTAATTTTATTTAGCGATTTAATACTCCGTTAATAGATCTAGTATTATAGGTGTTGTAATTGTGGAATTTTGTGTTCATTTTTTGTTGTATACTCCGTTATATTTTGTGTTCATTTTTTTTTGTATAGAGGAGGGGCGGCGGGGAAGGAAGGGGAGGGGAGGCGGGCGGCGGGGAAGGAAGGGAGGAGGCGGGCGGCCGGGGAAGGAAGGAGAGGGGGCGGGCGGCGGGCGGGGCGAAGGAAGGGGGAGGGGGCGGCGGGCGGCGGGGGAAGGAAGGGGAGGGGGCGGCGGGGGGAAGGAAGAGCTTAGGGAGTTTAGGGTTTGGGGGAGTTTAGGGTTTGTTGGGGTGTTGGGCTTAGGGATTTTAGGGTTTGGGGGATTGGGTTGGGTTTAGAATGTGGGTTTTGGGTTGAAGATTGGGTTGGGTTTAGAGGAGTGGGTTTTGGGTTGGGGATTGGGTTGGGTTTAGAGGAGTGGGTTTTGGGTTGGGGATTGGGTTGGGTTTAGAGGAGTGGGTTTAGGATAATAAAATTTAGTGTTGAAATTTTTAATGTATAGGATAATTAGATTAGAATAATAATATTAATCTATATTTACTAAAATATAGGGTTGAAATTTTTAATGTATAGGATAATTAGAAAAGAATAATAATATTAATCCGTATTTACTAAAATGTAGGGTTGGAATTTTTAATGTATAGGATAATTAGTTGCCGGAATAATAATATTAATCCGTATTTACTAAAATGTAGGGTTGAAATTTTTAATGTATAGGATAATTAGAAAAGAATAATAATATTAATCCGTATTTACTAAAATGTAGGGTTGGAATTTTTAATGTATAGGATAATTAGTTGCCGGAATAATAATATTAATCCGTATTTACTAAAATGTAGGGTTGAAATTTTTAATGTATAGGATAATTAGAAAAGAATAATAATATTAATCCGTATTTACTAAAATGTAGGGTTGGAATTTTTAATGTATAGGATAATTAGTTGCCGGAATAATAATATTAATCCGTATTTACTAAAATGTAGGGTTGAAATTTTTAATGTATAGGATAATTAGAAAAGAATAATAATATTAATCTGTATTTACTAAAATGTAGGGTTAAAATATTTAATAAAAGAATAATTAGAAAAGAATAATAATATTAATCTGTATTTACTAAAATGTAGGGTTAAAATATTTAATAAAAGAATAATTAGAAAAGAATAATAATATTAATCTGTATTTACCAAAATGTAGGGTTAAAATATTTAATAAAAGAATAATTAGATTAGAATAATAATATTAATCTGTATTTACTAAAATGTAGGGTTAAAATATTTAATAAAAGAATAATTAGAAAAGAATAATAATATTAATCTGTATTTACTAAAATGTAGGGTTAAAATATTTAATAAAAGAATAATTAGATTAGAATAATAATATTAATCTGTATTTACTAAAATGTAGGGTTAAAATATTTAATAAAAGAATAATTAGATTAGAATAATAATATTAATCTGTATTTACTAAAATGTAGGTTTAAAATATTTAATAAAAGAATAATTAGATTAGAATAAAAAAGAATAATAATATTAATCCGTACTTACTAAAACTATTTGTAAATTGTACTAGCCATGGACATTGGATCATCTTCTTCCTCCCAATCTACCTCAAAGAAGCTACGGCAGGGACCCAGAGACAGTAGTTTGTTGTTTCTCCAAAACGCCCATAGGTCACACAATATATTCCATGGTGCACAGTATGATATAGGGATTTCGGAGCCCAGGCGCGTAGATAGCGCCGCGTGGAAATTAATAAAAGATGCACCGAGGTTGACAAAGGAATATATTGAGAAATTTGGTTTTGGACCGTTCTCTAGAGTTGGGTCCATCAGATGTGACCATGCCCTGCTTACAGCTCTTGTGGAGCGATGGCGCCCAGAGACCCATACATTTCATTTACCTTTTGGGGAGGCTACTATCACACTCCAGGACGTCGAGGTTCTTTTGGGCCTTCGGGTTGATGGACGTCCGATTCTGAGGACATCACACCACGCTGATGGTGGTTGGGCAGCCTATTTGGAGAGGATGTTTGGATTTAGGTTCCAGACAGAGGAGTCTAGATTGACGAGTGTTTCCATCACTGAAATAAAGACTCACATAGAGAATAATCCTTTGACGGACTGTCCCCGACGATGCACACCTACGGGAGCCCGTTGTTTTGTTGGATGGCTCGTTGGCGGATTCTGTTCTCAAACACTACGAGAAACAGTTTTCCTCTCGATCTTGTGCATTTTCTTCATACTCCCGAGATTTGCTCGAGTACGGTTGGGGTAGTGCGGCACTATGTTACTTGTACCGCAGCATGTCCAGTCTTCTTCTCGCCGCTTACGCCAAGGCTATTACCGGTGTGTGATTCTTCTTCGGTATTTTATCTTTTCATTTCTCTCTAGTTTCATTTTATATTCTCCCATTATTATTGGTGATTTTAGCTAATGATTTCTTCATTCGAATTAGCTCTGGGCACGGGAGCGGATTTTGACGGTTCAGCCCAAGATCTTGGGTAGGGATCTCGATCTATCGATTGTCCATTGGGCACGAGGTAATCTTATACATCAAACCTTCGTAAATTTTGACATTTTAATTTGTCTTGTCATGTCTCAATTTAATGTTACTTTCTCCGTGCGGTGGTCCCGCGAGAAAAAGTTCAAGGTATCACGCGGTTCAATTTGGCCGCGTATCGGGATCGACTTGCGGTTCTCGCAGAGTCGATGTTAGTATTCTATTCAATTAGTATAACTTATGTTTTATTCGTTTTTTAACGGTGTCGAACTTTTAATTACACGTCTCTTACTTAATTACCATTGCGGTTTGTGCGGATGCCGTACACGACTCTTTTGGGTCGTATTGCCGTGGTTTGTCTTGTGGGACGGGGCATATGGCGATCTCAGACATGGCTCATCTGCGGTGATGTCGTTGCGCCACACAACCCCAGTAGGGTATTTCGCCAATTTGGTTATCACCGGCGGATACCGGCGACGCATTACTTCTCACCGTGGCGGAAATTACTAGCTGCTCAAGAGGAAGCCGTTTGGAGGATCCGATAGGAGATGGTTACAACAACTAGGGATATATCTCCAGGTTTGGAATGATCGCCACGGCCAAGTTGTGGGGACTGATGATCTTTATGTTGGCGAACCTTCCGCAGATCCGGAGTATCTCTTGTGGTACCATCAGTTCTGTGAAGTATGTTACGGATCCGACGGACTCGAAAATGCGAGGGTTTTCACGGTTCTGCGAGACCTTGCGCCTCATGGTGAGTATTTCGCCTACAGTCCATTTGGTTCTTTTTATTAACACTGTTGTCGATTTATGATTCTTTCTAATAAAAATTTCAGGCCACATTGATGGAGGATGTTCGTAGTCTGAGTATTATAGGCCAGCGTACTTTCGACGCGGACTCCTTTGGTTATGATCGCTTAGGCGAGATTGCCCGGAGTTCTTTGAGCGGGCGTTGTCCGTCAATGCAACAAATGTTGTACGGCACGATCTCGATAGGCATGTTGAGGTTCATGACATTTTGAGTCAAGAACTTGCACCTGTAGACCCGACCCAGCAACATCCACCACCCAGACCTCCGAGGCGTTCGCGCAGGTCTCAGCGTGGGCGTGGGGGGCAAGAGACAATCACAACATCTCAGCCACATCAGTCCTCCCAGCATGAGCAGTCTCATATTCCCTTCACTGGCGGTTCATCCCATCAGTCTCCACATCAGTCTCCACTCCATTCTCGACAGCATTCAGCCCATCAGTCTCCACATCATTCATCCCATCAGTCTCCACATCATTCTTCGCCGACCCATCAGGCGTTTTACCGTCCGATTATGTCTCCCCAGCACCAGCAGTCCAATTTTTCCTTCACTCAGTTTTCCTCCCCTCAGACTTCTCAGCGTCAGTTTGGAGATTCTTTTATTGACTTTTCTGGGTTTCAGCAGAGTTCGCTAGATGGCCAGTCGATACATTACACGAGTAACTTTCTTTCGAGTATGTTCGAGGGTGTTGCGGGTCAGCATCAGGCTGATAACCCAGCTGAGGGTGAGCGTGAGAGTCAGGGTGAGGATGAGGCTGAGGATGAGGCTGAGGATGAGGATGAGGATGAGGCTGAGGATGCAGACCAGGATGATCAGTTTGAGGGTCAGGGTTATCAGCGCCATGAGGAGCAGGGATCGAGTCAGACTCTAGGGACTCCACCGTTGGCTGTGAGTAAAGGCCAGAGAGTGACGAAGGAGCCCGATAGATTGACTTATAGCCTTTTTCGGGCTAAAAAGCTCAAGAAGAAGTAGGGTACTAGACTTCTTATGTAGTATTATTAGACTTGTATTTTTTTTTCCCTTTTGTTCATTTCTGCTTTCTTTCCTTTTGTTATGACTTGTTTTATTTTTTTTTACCTTTTGTTATGACTTGTAGTATTTTGTTATGACTTGTATTAATATTCTTAATAGTTTGATTTCACCTGCATCGTAAATACAATAATTAATATTTATAAAACACATCTTCGCCGATCAAATCGAAACACATATTTAAACTTTCTTATATTTTTTTTCATAATTAATAGCTGCTTCATCTTAAGTGTTGGTAAATTAAAATAAATATTTAATAAAATTTATTCTTATTTTAAGCTTTTTTCTTATATTAAAACCATCATAATTAATAAAATTAATTTGTAAATTAAATTACATCTCATTAAATCCATAAAATTACGTCATTATCATTATTGAAAATTTTTCATATAAAATTATTTTTTAAAATAATGATTACATTTTTAATACAAATTTTTAATATAATCATTATTAATTTTTTTTATATAATGTTTTAAAAAATTAATACATTATAATAACTATATCATACTTTTAATAATTTATATTTAGTATAGCTCTATTTTATTTAACGAGTACCAATTATAATATTATATTCTTATTCAAAATTTAATTTTCGTATTATTAAAATTATCAATATAATTTTCCTCGTTATAGCTCTATTCAAAATTTAATGATTAACAGTTATAATTTTCAAATTTTCTGTTACCATTATTCAAATTTAATAATTTTTTGAAGTCAATTTCCCTATAACGTTTTAAACTAGTCAAATTAATCATTTTTTTATGCCTATTTCTTTTTTTATTAAATAAAATGTTTTTTTAATTGATTTCGCGTTTTCAAACGTTTTCAAAACGCGAAATCTTATTGATTCAAGTTAATTAATTAGGATTATGTTAAATTAATTTTTTCTCCTTCTTTTTCGCGTTTCAGAAACGCGAAAAGCATGCATTCGCGTTTTGAAAACGCGATTTTGTGTTTTTAGCGTTTTCAAAACGCGGGTTTTGATTTTTTCGCGTTTCTGAAGCGCGAGAAAACTATTTTTGGCCACAATTTAAACCCTAAACATATTTTGTTCTTCATTTTTTTTTTCAGTTACTAATAAGTAAATTTTCCTACAAAAATGTTAATTTTATTCAGGTTCTTGCTGGGCGTTTGCAGCCATGGCTGCTGTGGAGAGCATCATAAAAATCAGAACAGGGAACTTGCTTGATCTTTCAGAGCAAGAGCTGATTGATTGAGATGATTCAAGGTCAGGTTGCCAAACGAGGGTTTCCGGGAAGAGCTTTCGATTACATTCTACAGAATGGCATCGCATCCGAAGTTGATTATCCTTATGTAGGATCTGTGAATTCGTATTGCGATAACTCAGTTGCGCGGGAAGCGTCCATCACCGCACATCGACAAGTCGCGCCAAACTACGAAGAAGCCCTTATGATAGCCGTGGCCTATCAACCTGTGGCGGTTGCCATTTGTTCCAACAGTCGTGATTTCCACTTTTATTCAGATGGCCTTTTCATGGAGGACTGTCCCGACGATATGGGTACGGATCATGTGGTGATAGCTGTCGGCTACGGTACCGATGAACATGGTAACAACTTTTTGTTATTAAAGAATTCGTGGGGCACAGAATGGGGTGAAGGAGGATACATGCGACTGGCTAAAGATGTTGGAGATTATGGTCTTCGTAAAGTTACCGCCTACGCTTGGTTCCCTATAAGTATGTAAGCCTGCTGTAGTAGTAATTGATGCCTTCTTTGATCAGTTTAATATGTGTGAATCAGCATTTTTATGTGTGTGAATCATCATTTTTATGGGATGGTTTTTGGTGGAAATTAATTATTATTATACTTATTATTATATTTTATTACAATTGCAGAATAAGTTTTCGAGTTTGGTAGTCCTTCCAACTTATTTGTTTGGTTAATTATTTTTGCATGTAATTCATCAACTAGGTTCTAGACCCGTGCAACGGGTTTGCAATTATTATCCAATTTTGTTTATACTTATATTTTATATATAACCCTTGTAAGTGTCATATTCCTAATATGTTATTGTGTTATAATGTTATTTGATCAACAGAAGCTCGTCTAATCCTATTTATAATGTCCTACTGAAACTTAACTTGGAAGCCTCAATGAATGTCATCGTAAAAAAAAGTTTTTTTAGCCGAGCTATATATTTTCACCAAAGAGGGGAATTAATAAACATATATACTCATCATTTTTAGATGAATAAGTCCATTTCTCCTCACTTAGCTTACTATTCTTTGTTTTTATGTTCCTCTCTTATTATTCATTTATCTTCATTAATTTATTGTTTTTCGACAAAACCAAGATCAATAAGTTTGGCCTCAAAAGAATAGCAGTTCTTTGCCAGATTCAGAGAAAAAAAGAGATAAAATAGCATCATAAACTGCAAAAAGTAGTTAAGTTCTTTGGGGTGAATCTTCTAAGAATCACCTCATATAATAGCTTTGAAATCAAATCATGCAACCTAATGATCATAAATTCAAATTATTAGCGGATAAAAACTCCAAACAGTTTTTAGGTTGTAGATTTCCTTCTAGGCAAAGTTTCTCCGTCTCTTTCACTTCATTCCCTTGGCTGGTATCAAAACCAAGGACTTTCCCACGAACTCATTTATCTTCAATTTTTTTTTTTTTTTTTAGGAATTTCTTGGTTTCCTCTGTAAACCCCACCAAATCCTTCTTAGTTGAATGTATAATTTTCTTTTCTTTTTTTTTTTTCAGGAATTGAACATTTTAAATTGGAAGTTGAATGTGTCATATTAATTAGCTTAGCTTGTAATTTCTTTTTCTTTGAATTTAATAAGTTCTTCAATGGTAGTTTAGATTATTCCATAACTCAAAAGAATATTAAAAGTCATGTAACGTAAATTTATCTATATATAATTCTAAAGAGTGTAAAATTTAGACACTCCCTTTTCTTTTCATTTTTTTTTCTTTTAAATCTTTACTTTTACCTCTTAATCTCAAGTCTAATCGGAGGTAATCACCTTTTGTTGCCCATCTTCATCTTTTTCTTCTTGATTTCTTTTCCTCTCAAATTTATTTTTTAACTTAATATTTTTTTCTTCTTTTTTAGTTGTTCTTTTTTGGTGATAAAAAAAACTTAATATTATTTTAATTTTCATTGGTTTCACAATCAGAATAACATGTGTCACTTCCTTTAAAATAAAAAGTGACACGAATTAGTGATATTATTTTGTTCAATGTAAAAGTATATATTGGTCAGTACTGATAAATTCGCTCACATATTTTACATATTGTGTATTCCAGCCATGTGATTTACCATTTTTAATTATTAAAAATTTCTTTTTTCTTTTATATAATTTATATTATGTCACCATAGAGTGTACGCGCAAAGCGCGTTGCTGAGAATCATGTAGCCTCTTATGGAGGTTCTCCTTGCGAGGGGAATGAGTTAGTTCTTCATTCTTCTTTTGGGATGCGGAGCTATCTTTGTAGACCAATCAAAGAGCAGAACATGAAATTTGACTACCTATGTGATAGGGAGTTGCTTCTAGCGGGCTATGATCAAGTTGCTGAACAAGTCATTATCTTTAGGGGTCAAACCAAAGGAGATGATTCACTTATGGAGATAAGTGTTGAGGAGTTTCGAGAGATTACAACTCAAGGTGCAAACTATGAAGATCTTTGATTGAACAATCTGAAGAGATGTCATTTAGGTTCTTGAGTGGATAGCTTATTTGATAAAAGTTCAAGATTGAGTTCATTACTACACAATTCGGATAGGGTGCAAACCATATTAATTCTTCGTTGTGTTTTTCTATCCAATGGTGTCAAATGGAGAGTCGATAAAGAGTTTTACGAATATTGGAGTGAAATTGAAGTCTTCTTCAACATTAGGGGCGCAAATATAATATTACATCTTTGGAAGGGCGTTCAAGACATTTTACTTCTTTATTTGAAGCTGAATTTCGTATTAAGAGTTACATCTAGTCTAGGAGTTATTTTTGAATTTATCTAGCTATTTTAGAATTCAGACATTCAAGACATTTTGCTTCTTTATTTGGAGCTGAATTTCGATTTTAGAGTTATTTTTGAATTTATCTAGTTAAGATAATTTATGTTGGCTGAGATAAGCTAGAGTGTTTTTAATTAGGAGCGTTAGATTCCTTCTAATCATTATTCTTTATAAGGATAAGTCATTGTTTAGATAAGGTTTCCTAGATATTGATAAAGTCAAAGAGATCAACTTCTCTTCTACCTCTACTCCTGCGAGAGATAAAAGTAAAAAAGTCCTAATTGGTCTTCTTTTTAGGTGCTTAATGACCAAGGAAACTAACCTATAAATAGGTAGCCCGACCGAATGGGGGAAGCACCCTTGAGTCGTCATTTGTTTTTCTCTAATGAGGGTCATTTCCTTTGTGGAATTTTTGTTAATTAGTGTTGATTATTTTTTGGTTCAAGTATGTTTAATTTATGAGGAATTATCATTTTGTTTTCGATCTTTATGATCTTGCAGAAACCGTTTTTTTTTTTTCAAATATGCTTCTTGATAGAATTGTTTTAAAACTAATCTTCTTGTCTTCATACTATTCTAGTATTTTCGAGAGATGTGCCTTTTCTTTGACATGGGTTTTCGAGTTTATGATTGTGTGTTCATGAGTTCCTTTGTGGGATTTGTTCTTATGGATGACTTTTGATTTGGTATAAGCAATCGAGATTGTGTATGTGTCGCATATCTTTATTGGTTATGGAGATTACTAATCAATAGTACTTCTCTATAGTTGAGCATTGTTGCTCCTACATTTCTTGAGTCTTTGAATGAGTGATTGATTGAGTTTGTTGAATGGTGTCCTTACGATTTTGTGTGGGTTGTTATTTAATTCGAATCTTTCATAGATTATGTGTTCTTTGTTGGTTTGAGTTAAAGAGATAGAATTCCTTAGATAAACGATCGTTTTACTGTGAGTTTTCTACACTCATTTGAGTTTCACGGGATAGACAAAATTATCTTCGTACTTTCTTGTTTGATTGTTGCATTAAAGAAATTTGCTTCATGTACGAGATTACTATCAGTTTTTGGTATCAGAGCAAGGATACTAGGAATGAGAATTTTAGAGACCTTTGAGTTTCTATTTGAATCACTCTTTGTGTCGAATGTTAGAGACCTTCATCTACGAGTATCTTTTTTTCTTAAAGAAAAATTTAGTTGTCGAATGTAGTTAGCTCTTTGTTGTATATATCATTTGACCAAAATAAAAAATTCCAATTTGTTGTATATGTGTTGAAAAAAGTCGAAAAACTTTTTTAGGTGTTGGGTTCTAGCTAGCTCTTTATTGTATGTATCGTTTGACCTAGATAACAAATAATTCCTATTTGTTGAAATAACAACTAATTACGACATTACTGATTGTAAATGGTGCACAGGAGAAGGCATTGTGCACCAGCATTTCTTTCGGTAGCTAATGTGCCTATCGCAATGCTATGATCTCATGAGTCTTCAAGTATGCTCTTGAGATCTCAAAGTGCACCTGAAGACATGCTTATTACCACATTAAGGGGTCCATTGACACCATTTTACGGGGAGCCTTTATTGGCTTGTATTGCTTCAAATATAGAGCCTATAAGAGTCAGAATTTGGGAGACAGAGGGGAAAGAGGACATTCATCCCATAGAGATCAAGGGGAGATTAGAGATTGGAGGTACCCATCATGTTTCTTTAGTCTGAGAGCCCGTAGCTAAGCAGAGTTTAGAGATTGAAGGACGTTGGACTCCGTTGGACATTTCCTCCTGAAGAAACCCTACAAGTCTTCCTTTTTTTCTCTTTAAAAAAATCCACTCCACTAGACCCTGCATAAATATTAAAAAACTAAAAGATACTTTCTTTGTTCATTCAAAACTAAAAGTTTCATATGTTATTATATGGAATCACAAACTTAGAAAGAATTTCTATTCACTTTTTTGTTAGGGTTTCGTTACAAACTAATGATAAACCCTTTCGCACCTAAGATGCACGTTAGTTGACAAAAGGTCATTATGTATCCTTGTAAAAATTGGACTCAAGACTTCACTATCACATGACTTGCTTGTGACTTAACAAATATTAGAATTCGACATGGGACACGATACCCTTCAGTCAATTCAAGTGCATTTCACGTGCAAAAATTTGACAACCAGTGTTTTCACGAAACCCTCATAGAAAAGTGAATAGAAATGCTATTTAATTTGTGTTGTTTTATAATAACGTCTAAAAGTTATATATATTACTATTGTTGGTTGGGGTTACCGGTTTAGGCCGAACATGGCAGTTTTACCCTATAGGGCATCAATTACTTTTGTGGGTTGAGCTTAAATGCTTACCCGTCAGAAAATTTTAAAAATTATACTCCAGTTTTCCCTAAAAAGCTTAAAGCCAATTGATTTTCACTTCAATATTCTCAAAAGATTGTAGCTAGGTAAGAACTTTTTCTTTTCCTTACAAAAGGTAGAGAAAAATATCATATATAGGTTAGAATTTCATTTTTTACGGGTTTATCGTAATTAGAAACTTATCAATTTAGGTCTCAAAAATTAAGAAAAAAATTGCATTTTAATTCACGATAAATGAACCATCATTTTCTTATTCCCAATAAAAAGCCTAATTAAGTTTTAGAATTATAATCCTGATACTTTTTAAAATTTAAGAGCATTGCTATTATTTTGAGACAGATGAAGTAAATGAAAAATATAAATTAGAAAGCTTCTTGTGAATTTGATTTCTTGGTTTTTGCTACTCTTCTTCAACACAGCCTTTACCAATTCAAGAAGCTAAGGTCATACGATGAAAATGATGAAGAAGAAGATGAATTGTGGAAAATGATACTCTTAGTGAATGAAAATAGTGACAAAATATAGTAACTGATATGGAATAATCATGGCCCAAGTTTTTTGTTACTTTTCCGTTAAAGTTTTCTTTTTCCCCAAAACAATTAATAAATAGACATGTTTAGCAAGTGGATGGTGTATTTGTCATTTCATTTGTCATTATATATTTTCACTGTACCTAATCACTGGATGTATCGTTGCTGATGAATTATTATTAGGTTTAATTCCCACAAATTTAGATTTTACTCAATTGTTTATATGCAAAAGCGATAAGCATGTGGTAGATGATGAATCAAAGAAGCTTACAAAGTACATCTATTCTAATTCTCCCATCGGAATCAAAAAACAATGAAGGAAATATGTTTACCTTTCAAAAAAATAAATAATATATAATATATACGATATAATAGAAATATTCTATTTTCTAATATTCTTCTCGACTCCCCCCTTCTTAAAAAAAATAAAATTAGACACATCAATTATTTTATTTCTTCCTATTCGTCCTTTTGAGACGTTCAGCTTTCGGTTTTTCTCTTCTTCCTTTCTCTTTTAAACTTTTTTTCTTTTTCTTTCTTTTTGTTCATGAATCGATTTTTCCTTTGAACAAACAGAAAAGACAATGTTTATGAAGAAGAAATCCACAAGCGAAATACATTTGCTTCAATTGTTCGTATCTTTTTATGCCATTTTCGACCAATAATCTAATCCAATGGCAAAATGTGGTTGGAGAGAATAATTAATTAAGATGCCATCTTTCGCAAAAAAAAAAAAAATTGCCATCCAAAACTTTCAAACGGGAGGGGGAAAATGAAGTTTGCTTGTAACAAGCAAAATACACCAATAACTTCAATTTGTAGTACGAAACCCTGAACCCTAAATATATAGTGTATACTTTTTCTTCAGTAAGATAGATGGAAGGGTAAATTTAATTTATCTTAGCATTAATCTCTCTAAGGAATCTTGGTTTTGTTAGGGTATATTGAGTTAATACAATTTCATTAATAAAATAATTAAGTTAAGCATGAAGGTTTCATTAATTATTGAGAACTACATCAGGCCAAAAACATATTATTTTGTCAAGGGGTGTTTTTGTCCCCTCCAATGCAATGGTTGATGTGAATTTACCTTGCCAAGAATATTATCCAATGAAAGCGCATTTTTCTACCCAAACATAATAGCATAGTACATAAGAAATGTATCGGTTTTTTTTTTCTTTTGGAATACAATATTGCATTTTTATTTTTTTACTTGTGAGTGTATGTGCGTGTGTGTGTTTCAAAATAGTCCAATAATAGGCTTCCACGGTCTCAAGCTTGATCGTAGTTAATTTAACGTCAACAAGTGTCCTCTTGAGCTACTTTCTTTCCTCACCATGATCCTAGGGTCTTTGTGGATTTAATGTCTCCCAAACTCATCCAAGTTTGGAAACTTTGATGGTTTGTGTTTGTTTACCTTCTTTCCACATTCTAAACACATAAGGAGGAGAGAGACAAAAACAGACAAGAAACATAGAAAGAGTAACAGAGAGAAAAAAGCTGATAATTTTTTGTTACCATTAATTTGCATGTTTTTGCATGCTTTCCCTTTGATGTTCAATCGTTTGATTTACATGAGAAAGAGGTGTTATTTTTTGCTTTGCATTGATTTGTTAAGAAGAATTGAATTTTGATTCGATGTGGAGCATTTGTTTTATCCAAATTGTACCCAAAGAAACAAAGTTAGAACATACATACAGGTAGAGTACCTCTAAGATTCTGGCGCCATCATGAAAGCTTGGGAGGCAACGGTACGTAAAACACAGGCTGTTGCGAAGAAACGAGCCAATACTATATTCGGGACATATGCATCAGCCCCGAATGTTGAACAGGATCAGGAAGAAGAGACTGTGGAAGACAATGATCACGAAGAACACGCGAGTGGAGAGGTGTATCAGGCCGAGAGATTTCTTCCTAATGGCGATTACTACACGGGTTATTGGGCCGATACATTTCCTCATGGAAGTGGGAAATATTGGTGGACGGATGGATGTATGTATGTAGGGGAATGGTTCAGAGGGAAGACAATGGGGAAAGGCACATTTAGTTGGCCTTCAGGGGCAATGTATGAAGGTAATTTCAAGAGCGGTTTCATGGATGGAGAAGGCACGTATACGAGTCCTAATGGTGATGTGTATAAAGGTACATGGATGATGAATTTCAAACATGGTCGTGGCGTTAAAGATTACGTGAATGGAGATTGTTACGATGGTGAATGGTGTCGCGGTATGCAGGAAGGTCATGGAAAATATCAGTGGAAGAATGGGAATTATTATCTTGGGGAATGGAAGAACGGTACCATATGTGGTAAAGGCACATTGTATTGGACAAATGGGAATGTGTATGAAGGGAATTGGGAAGATGGAGAGCCTAAAGGAAATGGGAAGTTTCAATGGCCTGATGGAAGTCTTTATGTGGGAAATTGGAGTAGAGATCCAAAGGATCAGAATGGGACTTATTATCCCGCGGGATCAACATTGTTGGATGGAAATCTGCAATGGGATCCTCAGAGTGTTTATAATGTTGATTTGAAGGACTGTAAGGTATGCCCTGGCGAAAAGGTTTCAATTTTGCCGTCTAACAAGAAGTTAGCCGTTTGGAGATCTACCAAGGCCGCCGATTCAAGCGTTAGGCCAAGAAGAATGTCTGTAGATGGGAGGCTAGATGCAGGTATAGATAGGGATTTTGCTAGACCGCCGATTCCTGATGCTGCTCGACATTCGACAGGATCTGCTTCTGACAGAAATGGCATTGATGACAGCTTATCGGGTCTACATCTTGAAGACCCAAGCATAAGAGGAAGCCCGATTAGGATACCAAAGGTTGTGAAGCAACAAGGTGTGACAATCTCTAAAGGGCATAAGAATTACGAGTTAATGCTCAATTTACAACTAGGAATCAGGTATGGTCTGCCAATCTCAATACTCTTTTTTACAGAACGATTTTGTGTTTAAAAGGTAAAATGTACCTAGCTAGATATGCTAAAGCTTATGAAAAAATCTAGGTGCGGACAGGAGAATGAATAGCTAATTACACAATGTAGAAACTACACATTTAGTAAGTTCAATATTCTTCCATTGGTTCAAGAACAAAACCTGGCCTAAAACTGTTTTGCACAAGTGGTTTGGTTTCTGAATTCCATTCAGATCAGCGAGTTGATTGGAAAAATCCCTTTTTCTCCTGCGTCTTGTCTGCTTGTTTTAGTTCTAATCATTTTTATTTGGTGATATGGAATGATGAAACAGGCATTCTGTAGGAAGACCTGGGCCGCCACCATCTCTTGAGCTGAAACCATCAGCATTTGATCCTAAAGAGAAGTACTGGACCAGATTTCCGCCAGAGGGATCCAAAAGCACTCCGCCACATCAATCCTGTGAGTTCAGGTGGAAGGACTACTGTCCCAAAGTGTTCAGGTGATCAACCCTTTATCCTAATTTTGATCTTGCTGACAATTAGACTGGTGGTTGACAGATTTGACAGCTTCTTGTACAAATGCAACCTAACTTATTCTAATATACTCTATTTCAGGACTCTAAGAATGTTATTTAAGGTGGATCCAGCTGATTACATGTTATCAATCTGTGGGAATGATGCCCTCCGGGAACTTTGTTCACCTGGTAAAAGCGGAAGCTTCTTTTACTTGACAAATGATGATCGCTATATGATAAAAACAATGAAAAAAGCAGAAGTGAAAGTAAGATCCTTATTTCTTCCTCATATTCAGATGCCTGTCATCTGAACTTCCTTTTATCTGATTCATTGCCTCATTGAAACGTCGTTGTTTAGGTACTTCTGAGGATGCTAAATGCTTATTACAACCATGTTCGAGCATTTGAAAACACCCTTGTAACTAAGTACTTTGGTCTACATTGTGTAAAGTTAAATGGACCTGCACAGAAGAAGGTAAACAAAGGCTAAAGCAGGTTCTATGTACAATTACTGTTGTTAAGAAGCTCAATGTCATTGAATAATTCAGGTACGGTTCATCATCATGGGAAACCTTTTCTGCACCGAATACACGATCCACAGAAGATACGACTTGAAAGGATCTACTTTTGGTCGTATTACTGAAAAGCCAGAGTCGGAGATTGATGCAACCACAACACTCAAGGACCTAGATCTTAACTTCATATTTCGCCTTCAAAAGAATTGGTTTCAAGAGTTCCGAAGGTATTTCTACTTTTCATTTTTTTGCCCAACTACAATTCTAACCCCTAATGTACTAGAAACCCCAAAAGTGGTAAACAAGCATTCAAGTGTCTGTTACTTGTCCCTTGTGATAATTTTTTCGCCCATAATAAAGAAGAAGCTTCTGTTTTCTGCAGACAAATTGATAGGGACTGTGAGTTTCTCGAACAAGAAAGGATAATGGATTACAGCCTTCTGGTTGGACTTCACTTTAGAGAAGCAGCAAACAGTAGTGATCATACTCCAGCTGATTGCCAAACTCCAACTGGTAATCACTTCAAAACTATTGAACATACTTAGTCTTTTTGCTTTAACTGCCTCATATAGATTCTTAAGAATAAACACTCAGATTAAACACTTGTAACACAAAAGAATTAACAATCTTATCTTGGTGAAGGAGAAAATGGCGGTACAGATGAATCCGTTCCACGTCTCTCCAGAGCAGACATGGATCAACTGCTTCTAGATCCTGCAGGGTTAGTCATCTATTCACCAAATTCATTCAGAAACTATCTAATGTTCATTTGAATTACCAAATACACAGCCCTAAACACAGAACACGCACGCAAAGATGCAGAAATATTATTATTTTCGCACACATTTTCTCCTCGGAGCTTCTAATATGTATGGAGAACTTTCATTCACAGGTGGGCTAGTATCAGATTAGGTATAAATATGCCTGCAAAAGTCGAAAGGACTGAAAGGAGAAACGATGGCGAAATCCAACTTGTAGGGGAACCAACAGGAGAATATTATGATGTAATAATGTTCTTTGGCATCATTGACATACTTCAGGACTATGACATCACAAAAAAGCTTGAGCATGCATACAAATCTATCCAGTATGATCCAAACTCAATATCAGCAGTGGATCCAAAGCAATATGCAAGGCGTTTTCGCGATTACATACTCAGAGTTTTCGCCGAGGATAGTTAGAAAAGGGATCAATCAGACCCTGCAGCTGCAAGATGGAGCTTTTCAGCATCTAGTGAAGAAATCATCCAGCATTTTTGTGTTATTGTAGCAGAGGGAATATCTGCTGTTTGTAGATCCTACTTTTACATTCTTTTTGTTTTTGTATACATGAATATTTCCCCAACTGTATTCTTTTCATTACTGCACAGAACGAGTTAGTATGCTTCCCACAATATGGTTTGTACACTTCATAGAAAAAAAAAAAAACAAAAGTCGGCTAACATCTTCTCACCAGAAACTGGTTTCAGAAACCAGTTATTTTGTAAGTAATTCTTCAGATTTTCTGAGTAATTTCTTGTTCAAATGTCTTTTTAGAATCTTTTTTGTTTAAAATTAAAACATAAGCGACATTTGATAACTATTTTGATAAATAAAATGGAGTTCGTATTCAGTGCACCCGGGTGTGCCGTATACCCCCCACCAAACACACGCGCTACACGCGCTCAACTGTTTTCACCTTTACATTAAATACACAAATAAAATTATTTTCATCCTCACGCACAAACACACACAAACATACAGTCGATGGAAACTCTCCCTTTTGTGTTTATCCATTAGATCTGAACTTGTTATCCATGCCTTGTTGCGTTTCATATGTACTTGCGTTCGCATATGGTTTCTTATTCATGCTTTATTGATTATCCATAATTTTGTTACTGATTATCCACTAGATCTGAACTGGTTATCCATGTTTTCCTGCGTGTGCTATGTGATGGTTGTCCATGCCATAATTGCTGGTTATCCACCCATTTCATACTGGTTATCCACAAGTTGTAAACTGGTTATCCAGAAGGTGTAAACTGGTTATCCACAAGTTGTAAACTGGTTATCCAGAAGTTGTAAACTGGTTATCCAGAAAGTGTAAACTGGTTATCCAGAAGGTATAAACTGGTTATCCACAAGTTGTAAATGGACAGTTTCGCAACCCCCCGCCGATTATCACCACCAACAGGAGAGTCTATTAATTAAAGAAGCAAACGGCGTCTTAATTGGAAGGCTTCGCCCCCCCCATGATAAACTTAACGACTCCCGCGGCTATAGGAATCGCAGGTCACCAACCTGCCCCGGCTGCACCGCCCCGCCGAACACGTCAATGTAGCTAAGGTATTCCTTTTTTCGTGTGTGTGTAAGGAGAGTGTGTGTGTAAGGAGAGTATGTTATTGCGTTAAGAGGGGAAACAAATCGATCGCCAACCTGACCCAGAGCCTTTCCTCGATCGTTGAACGTCGTCGCCGTCTCAACGACTCAATCGCCGCCGGCCGTGTCCACCTCAACGCCTCGATCGCTGACTCCCATTGCCGCCTCAACACCTCGATCGCCACCGGCCGTCACCCAACAATAATACTTCATCACAAAGTTTTCAAAAGAAAACGAAAGCTGAATTATCTAACGGACTCACGAAATTCTAAGAGAGTAAAGTACACGCGCAGGGGGGTACACGGTGCATCCGGGTGTACCAGATAATTTGCCAATAAATGTATGCTCAATGTGATGAGCAGTACCGAAAGCATTACAAGAAAGGATAAACGGTATAATCTAAGCATACACATTATTTGTCTTCAACAAAAGTTAAAATTTTTCCTAGTTGTTTCCAAGCATCAGACATGGTACAACTCTTGTTTGAAATGGTAGCCAATTTCAAGCAATTTCAAAAAAATCCTCCATGCATCTCAACTTGTAGATTTTGTACCGGCTCATAATAATAGTCCACATTGTAAATTTTACTACTTTCAATACAATTTTTAACTTACAATGTGAATTATTTTTTAATGTAATTTTCAATTTACAACATGGATTATTTTTGTGGGCAGAGGAATAGCTAGAAGCCACACCTTAAGCATTTGCAATAGAGATACATACATCATCACACAAGTCAAAAATTTCAATCACAGCCATGCATCTGTCAAATCCTTCTTGGTATATAACACGGGCACAAATCGCATTAATCCGTAGAAAGACAAACGTTCAAGATCTTCCTCGAAAGAGCCAAGGCAATACGTGAAGTATAGAAATCATTTAAAATATTGAAATAAAACTCAAAATAAACCATCAATATCACGTATTGAAAACAACATGATGTTATGGTCTCAATAATAACACCACCAAGTCCAAAACACTGAAGGTCTAAGCATCACTAGATCCAATGCTTGACAAATGCGTTCATAGTCGCTTATTTATTTCGGAACATCCATAAGACCACTCCAATGATACAGAACCTCTTAATTTAAAGTCCTCCGGCAATGCAATCCTATTACCAGCCCCACCATCATACTTACTCATGTTTGAGAAACATGTTTCATCTTGGTCCTCATCAGTAAACCATGATCCTGAGCAAATGAGGCTCTTGAAGAAGGAGATGCAGTGGTTCCAGAAAAATGATCTAGCTTGAACTTGCTTCTCCTCAAGTTCACTGCCTATGGCAATATCCTGATGAGAGGCCAACCATTCTACAAAATCCCGAGTCTTTGACTCACATTCGCCATGCATGCCCTTGTAACGAGCCAAATCTCCTGACGAGTCCATATCCATTAAGGATTACTAGACCGGTCCATCAACCAACTATGGTTCAGTTGACCTGATAAAGGTGGTTCTAGAACATGAAACCTAGTAGGATTCGGCATCCTTCAAGGTAACTTCATGCCTATAAATAGGGTTGGTCATACCACAATACGGGTACACTATCTCTAGCACAAACTACTACTCACATACCTTCTTTAAACCCTTTTCTGACTTAAGCATCGGAGTGTCTACCCTCGGGAGACCCCCGAGACCTTCTTTTTCAGGAAACCTTAGCCAAGGTTCCACTACCAAACCGGGAGTGTAAAACCAAGTTTCGTCAAGTGGCATGCCCAGTGGGACCCGAAACTAGGGTTTGTGTCATGAAAGCCTTTTCAGTTTGCCTAACCTTCTCCGGTGCGACTTAGGGTTTCTGGAACCACGCACACTATAGCCAGAGTTGAAGAAGACACGAGCAGCACACATCTTCCGGTAGATGGCATAGTCCAACCGATAATACTACCTTGGCAGAATTCCAACGATGACAAGAAAGAAAAAAGACAGGAAAGGGCCATTAAAGAGGACCCGAGAAAGAACCAGGGAAATAACGTCTGGTCCTTGGAACTTCATAGTCTAATCAAAAGAAACTGGACAAAGCAAATCCCACAACCGAGAAAAAGAATTTGCCTCCTCCTCAAAATACCACAGCATCCAGAAAACGCTTGGAGGATCAAAAGTTGGCCGAAATCGAGGCTGAACTCAAAAATCTGCTGGATGATAGCGATCAAAATCAAAGGATGAAAAGATATGTTCTCAAGGAAACAAGGCGTCGTTGTCTCTGGGAAAGATTGACCCAACTGAACAAGAGTTAGCTAACTTGATTGACGAGAAGGAAGCTCGACACACTTTAGCTCTTCTTGAGAAGAAACAAGGCAAGCGAAAGGTCCAAGAGGAGGGGGACTATCAAGAGTATTCAGATCACAAAGGCTTCTTGGATAACCATTCAACAGCCACTCGAGAGACTATTTACTGTAACGCTTTCAGGAAGAAATATCCAGCCTTTGATATGGCCATTGAAGAGTTTGATGCGGTGAACAAATGCAAGGATCCTTGAGACCCCTACCAACAAGGATCCCCAAGCGTCGAGGTTATGGAAGAGGGAGAATGGAACCCTCCGAGAAGGACCAATGTTCACAACCGATTGGGGCCCAACTGGCATCAAAAGAGTTGTCAAAGGAAGGAATACGTACCTTTCCATAGACAATACCAAAACGACCACGATACCGAAGAGGATTATGGATGGGGGCATCACCATTATCTTCAGTATTCACCTCTCAGGCGGCAACAACGTAACAACCACGAAGGGATCCCACCTTATCTTCCTCAAGGTCGGCAGGGAATAAGAGGCCAGGACACTTTGATCCGAGATGAGATGAGGAAGATCATTGGAATGGTCGTAGACCGGAGTCCCTTCATACCAGACATTCGAGACGAGCCGAAGCTCCAGGACTTCGACTTCACCAAATACTCGGGAGATACTGACGTCTCCTAGTGGCTATAGGGGTATCTCCTGGTCATGAGGATAAGGAATGCATCGTTGAATTTTATGGCTAAAGCTCTACCATCCTACCTAACCGGGCAAGCACAGCTGTGGTTTGAACAATTACCAGAAGGAAGTATAATCAGTTTCGAGGACTTGTTAGTCAAATTGGCAACTCTGTTCTTTCAGAGTAAGCAAATCTCTAAAATGTCTATTAATCTTTCCAGCAATATGTGCAAGGACCCTCTTGACAAAGAAACAGCAAGCCTGGTACATCCCGAAACTTTCCTAAACGGAATTTCAGGGGCCCTCGGGGAGAAAGCCGTGGGAATAATTGGCAACCGAGGAACAATACGCAACAACCTCCTCAACAAACTATCGAGTGAGCCCCACAACCGTTTCAGCATATCTCTCTAACGGATCCTACCAAGCAGATCACTCACCAGGTGGGTGCCATTTATGGAGCTCCTCTCAAAGTTTTATCTACCACAGCCATGAAAAACTCAGTACGAACTGCCACAAAAACTCCCCGTTAGGAACCCAGTCACAAGAGGTTCAAAGGGATAGAAGCCATAGTTTTCACTGATAGCGACGTAGTCCCGGATATGTATCCACACAGTGATGCCATGGTTATCGAGGCGATAATTGTAAATGTGCAAGTCAGTCGGGTTTATGTAGACAACGGCAGCGCAGTTGACATCATCTACAACGATTGCTTCAAAAAGATGAACATTTAAAACCCTAACATCCGCCCAGCAACAATGCCATTGATGGGCTTCTCGGGGCACACTATTATCCCAACTGGAATCATAAGTCTCCCCATCACGGTAGGGTCACATCCCAGAATGGTTACATTAACCGTAGATTTCGCTTTAATAGATGCACCCTCGCCGTTCAATGTAATCCTAGGACGACCCTGGATGTG